GGTGTGCTGTAACAAATGTTCGGAACAGCGCATTTCCTCCATCTGATATAACCGATAAAAAATATTGGGAGGTGGAAATTATTTCCAAATATTTTTCCGTGAACACCCGCCTGGTTTTATAGCGTCCTGGCCAACTGTAGCATTCTTCGATAAGACTAGTGTGAAGCTATCGAACAGAGAGCGTCTTTTTTTTTCTTCGACAATCGGCCCAGAAACGTACCATTGCTGCCGCTGTGCGTCGCCAGGGCAGTCATACAGAATCCATTTTTGTTGAAAGTTGTTTCCATACGTTTGCGTTTCCCCCTTTATCAGTAGTGCCTCATACGGGAGAAAACGGCAAAAGAAAGCGCGCAAGCACCCCATTCTTCTCGTAGATTCTTCTGTCCTTCCACTCCTTTGAAGTGCGCCATAAATGCAGCCTCTCGAGCCTGAGCAAAAAAGCAGCAAACGCGACTGAGGCTCGTGATTCGCCACCAAAATAAACTGAAATTAAAACCTCGGCCTCCAGCTCTTAGGCAGTGCGCTTCCTTTGCCTCTAATCCGCTTCGGCCCACTTTGACGATATGATTGGTGGCTGCCTGGCAGAACGGGCATTCGGATCGCGGCTTCATCCAACTTCCGATGCACTCAAAGCGGAACAGGCGTTGTAGGCATATCGCTCTCCACGTGGATATTTCAGTTCGCTCAGGCAGACCGTGCAATTACTGCGACCAGTACTCGCGTTTGCCAGCATTTTCAAGCCAGTAGATTCGCCGAGGCATTTCTGAGAGGAGTTGCTCCGTTCACAGGCGCAACCGATTGGGACAACCAAGCGATATGGAACTGATATTCATGCGCGATATTCGTCGCTTGTTCAGCGAACATACAAATGGCGAATATTGCGCATGAATATGCAAATTTGCGTATTTCACAAAAGCTGTAAAATTCTACCAAGAGAGGAGCAGTTCTGCACACAGTCAACCCTACCAGGGAGTTATTCATTTAACATATAATCACTGGAGGCGCGCACCAGGCGGGCTCCTACGATCATACTTTTTGCAGTATTTCGTGCTTTTGCAGGATCGCTTAGAACCCCAGCAGCTGAAATTTGTGACTTTATGGGTCGAAAAAAAAACCCCCGCCGTTATGGGTAGTGTTGCGCCGAGCGCTGGGTAACGTTGATTTGGGGTCCGTGACTTGCCCTAGCTGCTTTATTAATTCAACCGAACTCACAAATGGGTGCATATTGTGCAGTCAAGTTTCTGCAATTGCTTACTCCAACGCGTCCGTTCGTCCGAGTCTCTGTTATCAAAATCGTCGCCAATCGCCCTTCCCTTCCACCCGCCACGTTACAGGGCAGCATTACCCAGCGCTCGGTGGAAAATAGTGCATGATATGTTGCTATGGTGTCTCATTAATGCATGCAAGCGCATAGTATATTAAAGCTGTGCCGAGCCGAGTTTTGGTAATTGCCCTGCTTTCACGCAAAGATTGCGGTGACAGTTGAGGGGGTATTGTGAGGTTTTTTTCCGGCTTAAAATGGATTGGGTTGTTTTACGGAGCCAGGATGCAAGAGCGAGGCGCACTCCGAGCGGTGGCCGTGGCACTCTCGGGCACCGGACTTCTCTTGATCGCGGTGGCTCGCCCCAGCCCCGCGCAGATCTCGCTGCTGCTGCTGCTGTTGCCACTACGGGTTTTACGTGCACGCTACGTACGCTGCTCTACTTGCTCTACGTTTATCCCAGAACCGACGCGCGGTAGGGGAGCGTGAGTTGTGGAACCGCGTTAGGCGGACTGTAGAACTTCGAGAAGCAGGCATCTATCGGGGGATTGCGTGCTATCCGATCTGTTGGACTGTCTGAAACCTGCCTAGGCCCGAGCAACAAACGTACTCCTGCACACTGTCGATTCGAACAACTGGATTTTGCGGCTGGCGCTATAACAGCATGTTTTTTGGTTTTTCAGGATAACTTGACTCGGTGCCGAGGAATGCCCGTGACCGGTACTACTACTGCGTGTATGGCGGATTGACGCCTGCGGCTCTGTGTAATGTTTGCGTCACTGCGAAGAGCGCAATGCAGACGCTGGGACGATTTTGAGCTGAAGAAACGGCTGCGCCAGTTCCTGGCAGTACCGAGACGGGTCACTTTATCTGCCCTTGCGCTTTTCGTTTTCCTCTATTTCTTCATATCCTCGTTCACTTCCTCGCCACCTCCCTCAGCCACCCAGAAATGCCTGGACGAACGTTTAAGCGCATGGAGAAGCTTTGAGAGTGACAGTGTCGTTGCAGTTTCCATGCAGAAGCTTGGATTCACTGGTAATGGGTCAGTTTTTGCCGTATTATGATTGGGTTTTTTTTTTTGATGTTCTTCTCGAGTTCCTGGTACTCGATGCATAAATAACAAGTACACGGTGCCATTATTATTGTGTGATCTGGTGGCTGTTCCGGAGTTTTCATTTTAGCAAAATTCCGGATGGAGGAGGTGATTTTTATTGTTGCTAGAATTTTTATAATATTCTGTAGAATTTTGGCCGTTAAACCATGCGTGAGTGAAGGGGTTATTTTGAAAGTGATCATCACTAGCTCGTTGTTTTCTTTTATCGGTTAAGGAGGTTAGCTTGAAGTCGCACCCGTTGTCAGAGGTGGAAGCACGGCGAGATTTTGAGGCTGAGTTGCACCTCACTCCTCGTCAGTAATTTAAGATTGAAATTTCGAGGTCCAGAACGATTTTGCGTTAAAGGGGGACGGGGGAGGAATGGGGAGGGAGGTGGCAAAGGGCTGGCTGAGGTCACCTGCTTGCTTCTAAAGCTTCTCTAATATCATCGTAGATTCTGTCGAAAGTTCTTTTTTCGTTTCTGTGAGATCATCGCTTGCTTCCATGCATTGTGCATCCAGAATAACTCACTTCAAAAGATGCGTAATGATGGGATGATAGCTGAGCGGTGTATCTAATACTTTTGCTGACTAAATGAAAGAAACTAAAGACTGGGTTAGAAAGACATCCCTATATTAGCATCTTCACGCTCTTTTCTTTTCTCCTTTTTTGTTTTCTTTTATCTTTTGCTCCTCGTTGAAGCACTGCAACCGTCATACAGACAAGGTCTCATCTTGCTACAGCCTTCTAATTTTCACTGATTAAGCGTTGAGTTAAGGCGTATACGACTTAATGGACCGAAACGTCTTATCGCACTCTTTCTTTCTGGTCTTATCTTTAACTGCAATCTTCCAGTTTTTATCAGTTAAGCGTCTAGATCTGACTTGGCTGGTACAGTCATACTCCTATTTTACGCAATTTGTTAGTTTTCCTGGACATAATGTGGTTGTTTTATAGATTTATTGGGTTGGGTGGCGATGGCGAGTTACGAATGAAAGTCTCTTCTTCTCGGGTATTGTCTATGCGCGGTGCATTTTATCCGTTCATCGATGCAACTGTCGAGGATTCATCCGGCTCGTTTGCCGAAACTCATATTACTGATTATCGCGTTGGTACGATTGTCACAATACGCTGTTTTTCGATAGTGCGTTGGTTGTGCTCGGATTTCTGCTTTCTATTAATATTAGCTTATCAGTTTTGTGTTATGCGAGACCAGTGGAGTGAAATTTTTTTTGCTACTTTCGAAGGAAATCGCCCTTTCAGGGGATTATTGGCCAAAAGAAATCCTCATTAAAAAAAAGAAAGACAAAAAACAAAAAAAAAACCCCCCCTCATAAAATGTAATTCTTAGAATACTACGAATCTCTTATTTACTTCTAGTTTAAACATTTATCTAATTACAGAAAGAGCAGTGTTTGTGTACTACACGAAGATTATATGCTCATCGAAGGAGACCTCATGTTTTGGTGCAAGAGCTTCGGGCCAACAACCCATTGGTAATCTTTTTTCGGCGAATGAGATTAAAATTTATGAAAAAATTAAAGAAACTTAAGCATCTCTCATTGTTTTAATGATAAATTGAGTCCTAATATAGCTAGTAAACAGTCAATCTCCCCACTTGTTTTCAAGCAGTCTTTCGAAGAGGGAAATATTGACAGATTCGGTGGTTATTGTTGCCAGTGTGGTACTACTCGAATTACGATACCTTTTCCTCTCACAATGAACATTGAGTGGATTTTAGTCTCGACATGTCTGTTCTGTAAGAGGTATTTGGCCGTAGCTTACGGATAAGTTTACAAGCCAGTGTGGAGCGTTTAGAATATCTACATAGTTGATACTCATCCGAGTAAAATCCTAGAATTCCTAAACGAATCAGGAATGGGAACTACGTGCGGCACATTAGTTTTTTAACCTCTCTTACTATCTCCATTGTCTCTTCCCAAACACTGGTACTTGACATTTTCGCATGGTGGTTAGGAGCTGTACTGACAATTCCCACCCTAACCGCATCTTATACTGTCTGTGTTTACAGCTAAAGGATGAAACACAGACAGATCAACTTTCACATATTCCTCTTTACATGATTCTTCAATATGTCATGCGGCTTTTACTACACTAATAGCCCTACAGTTTCCTCCATCATAACCCATTGTCTTGTTCCACTCCAAATTAAAATTTAATGATTTCACCGCCTCGTATTTTCCACAGTTCGGACTGACCGCTACGTCAGAAATTATGGTTCGGCCTACCAAGAGCCACAAAAAAATTTTTTATCATTTAGCCCACTTCGGCTGCCCTACTTGGACCGTCCACTTCTGATTCGGCCTTCTAATAGCCGTTACGTATAATTGTCATTTACAAAAATGGACCGAGAAATTGTTTTTGCACGAATGAGCATTTTTCCATTGTTTCACCTACATTTTTTTCTAGGACGATGAAATTAAGATCGCCCTGTCTGTCCGAAACTCTGGACGTTGGAAACACACGGAAAGGTCAGTTTAATTTTGAAAAAGTCGGACTAAAATTTAACTTAATTTTTAAATCAGCACCAAAAACCTGTCATCATCCTAGGCACACATGCAAGCACAGAGACAGCGGCACACATACGCGGAAATATTATGTAATCTATCACGCCTCATGCTGTAATCTGTTGCGCCTTCGCCATTTAGGCTTTCAGGGTCAACCTGGTTGCTACAGTCTGTTTATTTTAAGTTTATTTATGCATGGAGCTAAATCCATACAACGTGAAAACAAAATTATGGCTGTTTAGTTAGAAAACAATAGGAAGCTTTGTTCTTTACTTATAACAGCTATGAAATGCTTCAACTTTTGAACTGATAAATCGTTCAGAAGGCGAAACGAAGGTCAAATTTGTCAGCAGGCTAATCACTAGTTGGTTTACCATCAATAAAAGGAACTAAAAAGTTGCTAGCTGCATAGTAGAGGCGCCTGAAATATTGTTAAAATGAAATTTTTTCAAAAAAAGACATGTGTTTCAGCGTCACCAGTCCCTCGTTGTATTCACGTTTGTTCGAATCAGATGGTGTACGTACGCTAGCAGCAGCCACTTGTACCAAAGTCCCACAGAGTATAACGATCAAACGCAACAGTGACATTATTCTGCATTTTTTGTGCGTGATAAATTACGTCTCGCCGCTACCTGACGTGAAGAATGTTGATAATGAGCTAAAAATACTGAATGATGCGGTTACAAAGGTAGGCTTTCTATGAACTAATTTAGGCATGAAAGACATGAAGATCTAGGATGTGAAGATTTAAGGATAAAAAACCTCGAAGCATAGAATATCTGCATAAAGAGGTTAAGTTTTTTTGTGACTTCCCGAGAGTGACAGTTTGAATGAAGTCGCACTGCTGCTGAAGTATCATTATTTAAGTGTTTTAGAAATTTTAAAGATGCAAACAGTGAATATCTCTGGCTAGAGAATTGAAAGAAGGCGGGGGCCTGAAGTCTTCTGTGTGTTAACATACACAGTTTGTTTGGCATTGTTGGCCGGCCGTTTAGAGGAACACAATCGAATTTTGACAGTTATGGGAAAACAGAAAGTGCCAATTTAGATCTCCCAGAAAGTGAGCCAGTATATACGTTGGGCTGTTATCCTGTCTGTTTTCCATTCGTGAGCTTTAAATATAAACGGCAGAGTCGGTACGGAATGGGATGGGAATCATTAATACAGTGCCCCATTTCACCATGTTTAAACGAACATGTGGATTTTCGAAGGAAGATGAAGAAGGAAAGGAAGGAAACAGAGGTGACTGTACGGAAAATAAATGTTGTAGCAGTAGAAACTAAAGTAAAACTAACATGCAGCAGATATGCCTCTGTTTTCGTAACTTCTCAGCTCAATAGCTCTTTTTTTTTCTCTCTTTTTTTACGAGTTGCAATAGTTTGTGATCGACTTGTAGCATGGAAATCTCTGCGTGTTTGTCTCGTAAACATAATACTTTTTCTTGTGTCTTATTATGTGTGTTGAATTTGAGTCCACTGAAATATTCAAATTTTTTTTTTTATCCCATATTCTTCATTATCTCGAGGTTTGTTGTGTATTTTCAGGAGCTCACCGAGTGCAGTTCAGTGGATGCGATGGTGTTGGATCGTGAACAGTCGACTGCCTGGCAGCGAGTAAGCATTGCGCTTCCTTCTTCCATTGCTAATTAGCGATGGCTGCATTTTTTGGATTTTAGTTGAATTTGGTCACATTTGGTATTTCGAAATCTTTGGCACCAAATGCTCTGAACGCTGATGAAATAAACGCGACACGTTACATGCTGCTGTCAAATATGCGCGATCAGTTGCTGGAAATCGGAAGTACCGATGAACAGAGGAAAGTAGGCTTCTAATTTACGCATTTATAATTCAAACGTATTGAATTTATTACATTGGAGAAATTTTTGATCTTGTAAATAAAACGTTACACAGAGCGGTGGTTTGGCATTTTTCATAAAAAAAGAGGGATTCAGTTATTTTATGATTTGTTGATTGATTTTCCGTAATAAATTGGACTGAGTTGTGCCTAGCATGCCAGAAACCCACCGCATGGTTGCTTGATTTTCAGGCGGTGATGACGCTTCTGAACAAAACGGATATGTGCTATACCGGTCATTCAACACTGCTTGTGCCTTCGCGTCTCTGGAGGAAATGGAACAATATGAATGAAGTAATCGAAACAATGGACATTTGGCTTCTGACATTGGAGAAACGCGGCTGCTCGAATCTGCTGAAAGCCGGTGCTAGTGGTTTTGCGGAAGCATTTGTTCTCAGCCTTCTTGCTTCCAAGTAAGCATTTCCAGTCTCCTCCCAGTATCGTCCGTTATCTGCCCGAGAGTTATTAAGAGTTGTTTTTTGATTTCAGACTAATTTCGAAACAATTGTTTTGGGCAGTGTTGCAGATTTTCTCGTGAACATTTGGAAGTTGATATCGATCCAGCCGATTTACAACGAGAAATTTTTGTGCAAAATCTTGCATATTCTCCGATGGCAAGGATCACACTGAGTACTCATTTGAATGTTGATAATCGACCTTACTTAATGGTCTCATCTGATTCACAGGTTCCAATTTATGCACTTCCCTTTCCTCTACG